TTATTCAGTATGTACCATGGTGCAAGGTCAGTGGTTTGCCAGAGACAAAGGAGGACTCTTAAAATGTGTGAAGAAAAGCTATCAAATAAAGCAGAAAGAGTAAGGCTTTAAAAATAATATTTCAGTCCTTGTAAAAGATCAGTACGCTGTAAATGTGTTTGTCGTTATAATATTTTTGCAGACATGTACACTGCAAAAAGACACATTTTACAATAGTTTTAAGGCTTTTTTCTACATTTCATTAATGCACTGTGAAAATGTGTGTCATTGTGTAAAATATCATTAGATTATAGTTCTCTGTCTTTTGTAGGTAGCTATTTTGAAAGTACTGCCAGAAACACACAGCACTCCCACAAATTGCCTTTTTTAAACTAAAGAACAGCTTTACAGATTCCCTTGACACCTATTAAGTATGAGCTAATACTGCCTCCATGCCACCTACACACCATCTCAGCATCCATTCCATCGTTTAGAAAGTCTGTACTTCTACATCCTACACCATTTCTGTGAAAAAAAAAGAAAAAGAAAAAAAAAGAAGAAAGAAGAAAGAGAGAAAGAGCAGCTCCCTCCCATCTTTTCTCCTCCCTCCTAAGAAAAAAAAAAAAAGAAGACCTGTAGCAGTAATTGAAACTTTGGTAGTCATCAATGACAATTTTACTTAATCTTTAAAAAATGTGTCATTTTGAAAAATAACATTTAAAATCCTAATGCTTTTCTAATTAAAATAACTATGACTGTAATTCACAGATGGTTTACTTTTACAGGAGTCTGAATTACATTAAAATCTCTCACACAGATGAGAGCACTTTGTAGTTCAGAAAGTATTGAAAAGTGAGTGCTTTAGTGGAAGAACATTTTAACCTTTTTTCCCCCTAGGAAAGCAGGAAATGTTTTGTGATTAGAGAAAAGACCAGAATGAAGACAGGTGGCAGCCTCAAAAACTGTTTTGATATCTGGCATATGAAATTCCAACATTTTTCAGCATTATTTCTTTCACTGAACACCAGAACTGTACAGAGGGCAGTGAAACTAGCTTGTTCTTGGACAACTTTAGAGGGTAGCAGATCTAGTTCAAAGGCTGAGCAACACAGATCTCCAGCCATTCTAACATAATCAGATGTGTTACAGCACATGTGTTCTTCTATACACAGTTCTGTCTAGAGCTCTGCTCTCAATAGGCCTAGCATATGTGTCGAGGATTGGTTAGCTGACAAGGGTCACATAGACATACTGTAGATGGCTGACCAGGATTTTGGGAAACATCGGACTCTGTTAGTCTGAAGTGCTGGGGTGGTAAGGACACGCTGTCCTTGACTGCAGCTGCTATACGATAACAGCTTGCTTACAGTCAGCTAAGGCATGGGAACTTAAGGGAGTAAGCAACCAAGAATGAGGAACTAGGGGAGGGGTTGACGTTTAGGATAGTGACCAATTAATTAGTTAGGTTACAGAATATGTATGATCTCATTAAGAACTGTATAAGTATGCTGAACACTAATCAATAAACGAAGATTGCTGATCGCTCATATTGAGTGCTCAAGTTCTCCCACTGCGACACATATGATGTAAAATCTATAGATAGCTTTTATCCAAATGTAAAAATGAATTTGTGACTTTTTTTTTGTATTTCTTCATTCACATAAAAATTGTAGCAGCCTTCTACTAATGAAGCTCTTAGCAAAAATTATGCCACAATAACTCTGTTTATATTGTTACTAGGGTGGTGATAGAGGGAGGATGAGAGAAAAGAGCACTGATGCTTTGCATGTCCTCTAGCTGGCTTAGTGCCTCTACAATGCCAGATACTTGTAACTAAACTGACTGTAAGCTTGTGTAGTTATCTTGACTGTGATTTTTTGACTGCACACTGCAAAATAAATTGCAATGCGATGTTTAGTTAAGTTACACTTTTGAAATATAGCCTAGATGTTAATTATGAGACTAATTGAGAATGAGGTTGTTAATTTTGGCATAGGCATTGCTGGTAATCAGGGCTTTTAAAAGTTTCAAAATGTAACTTTTCATCCTCTTTTCTACTGTCAAAATACCATAATATCGCCCTAGTAGAGAAGAATGTTTTAGAGACTTTCAGTGAGGAAGTAA